TACAGACCCAGACATATACACAGCTTCCATACTTCACCAAGACATGGAAGGGACTTCTAGACACTAACTTGGAGGAAGGGGATTGGATGACTATTTTCAAGACAATCTTCCATGCACACTCTAGTGTCCCTCTACAGGAAAGCTTTACCCTGGGTACAAACATCACCCAATGACTGGATGATCCCATCTCACCCGACGGTGACACCCACGATACAGACCTGGAAAAAAATATATATTAGGCACGATATAGCCTCTACTCCGTCTCCAAAATACCCTATAACAGACAACCCACTTTTCATATCAGGGAAAGGAGGAATGCACTTAACACCAAAGGGAGGAAAGAAGACAAATGAGTATTTGGCTTTGGCTGAAATAGTGGGGGAGGGAAGTAGCAGGCATATCTCCAAATAACATGGAAACTTCCCGAACGATCCCTGATGAAGTCCCATTTTTGTCGGACGAAACGCGTTGGATAGACACTTTGATTCCATATATGCTGCTACTTGATTGTATATTCTGTATGTAGTTTTTATCTTTATTTTATTTTATTTTATTTATTTTTTCATTTTTAATTGTATCCTGCCTATTCCATTGGATCTTCTATTGGACCTTTTTACATCGTTCGGGAAGTTTCCATGTTATTTGGAGATATGCCTGCTATTTTTCTTCACTTGTAAGTGAGACCAATAAATACTTTTTTGTAATTTAATTACATGCTTCACTATATTTGTTTCCTATTTTTCTATATATCCCACGGAGGATTGTCTACTCACAAAGATTGCTACCCTTTGGGAGGGTGAGAAGCCTGATTTCATACCTTGTTTGTGAGTGCATTCATTTCCACTAATATATCACTCACTTATTCAGTACTGTATTACGCTATGTCAGTTTTTTTACCTTTTATATAGATTTCGTCTATGAATAACTACTTATACTTCAGGTTATTTTAACTTGTCTTTATATTATCACGTATTTGGGAGGTGTTTCCACTTTGTCTTTTTAATTATATGATCCTGGATATAGTTGCAACTACACACTAGAAATAAAGGAACAGGAGGTGTTGGTACCCAACTAAAAGTTAAAAATCTCATACAGATTTAGGCCATACCTCAATGTTTCTGATAAAATTAATATTTTGTAACAATATGTGAAAGCAGGGCCGCCACCAGAAATTTTGGGGCCCCTAACTCAGCTCAGGGTCTGGGCCACCTGGGGCCCGCCTCCAAATACCGCCCACTGGGTCCGCCTCCAAATACAGCCCACAGGAATACACACACAGACACAAACACACACACTGATACAAAAAGACAGAGATAAATACTAACAGACACACATACTGAAACAGACATACACTCATACAGGCATGCATACTGAGACATACACACAGGCATACATAGTGACAGACAGACACATACTAACATACATACAGACACACATGCATGAGGACATAAAGACACATACATACATACAGACACCGACATACATACATACATACACACACACACACACAGACATACTGACAGACATACAGACACTGTTTTTTATGGGGTGGGCATGTTCCTTTAATAGTTTCAACTACCTATCTTTACATGTCTGATTAGAAAATGTCTACAAACACTTGCAGGGCTATTTACTAAAGTAAGAATTCAAAGTAGCCTAAATAAAAGCATAGCTGGCTGAGATAATTGTTGCAACATTTTCTCTATTTTTTACTTTTTTGTCTATTTTTACCTTGAACTTGAAATTCACTGTACATTCACTTAGAATTCTCACATTTGTGAATAACCATGTTAGGCAAACCTGGTTTTATGTCATGTTTGCTATTTTGAACATATTACAATGTTAAAAAATTCAAGTAATTTATTTTAATACAAGAATAACATGCTTTTTTCCATGCTTATTACAAAATTGTATGTATGCATAATGGTTTGATATTTACATAATAAAGTATATGTCAGTGATTTATTAGAATGATAAATTTGCTTAAAATGATTTTGGTTCTAACTTTTGCTTCTTTAACTTCATCAAGCATTACCACACAATATATTATTACATTAAAGTATGAATTTTCTCCACAGAGGAGCTCTCCTTTCCAGGAAGTGGGTATACAATGGATGTCCCAATAAGCGCAGAGAAAACACAAAAGGTGTTTCAATAATTAGTAACAAATGCATGTAATGAAGACTATGAAGAAATAAGAATTGTAAACATACATAAGTAATGAGGCCCAGAGTTACCTTGGAGCTGTGGAACACTTAAAGGAACACTATAGGGTCAGGAACACAAACATGTTTTCCTGACCCAATAGTTTTAAAATCACCATCTAACACTCCTGCCCGTTCCCTAGCCACCCATAATATAGTAACATCTTACGTGTATTTAAGTCTGCAACTGCTGCCTCTGCCTCTGACCACCATCAGAAGTGGTGATCTGGGCCAATCACAATGTTTCCCCATAGGATTAACTGAGACTGTCAAGGAGGCAGATCAAGGGCAGAGTCAGCACAGGTCAAACACAGCTCTGGCCAATCATGATCTATTCATAAAGATGAATTGAATCTATTCCCTGAACGGAATGAATATACTCACCAGGACAAATACAATAAGCTATAGTTGTTCTGGTGACTATAGTGTCCCTTTAACAGAACTATCATATACATTGCATGCAGGTTTTTAGTGCATTTTGAAATAGTTAGATAAAAACAAAAGCCAGTGAAAAAAGAATTGTAGAGCATTACACCTAAGCAGTAAAAATAATCTAGTTACAGAATATACATACATTTAAAATGTAAGAAGTGTTTATTTATGAGAGAGAGAGAGAGAGAGAGAAAGAGAGAGAGCTGTGTGTACCAGTGGCTTGATATATTATGTATTTTTTGCATGATTTGCACCCCCCTGTCATGTATTAGAAACCCGTGGTAATGTTGTACATTTTAATATTCAATATGCTATTTATATTATCTGTTAAAACTTACAGTATCATTAAAGTGACTGAATTATTATTGCAATATTCAAGAATTGGTTGAGGTCTTTGACAATTTAAATTAGAAACCAACTCACCGTAAAACTAAAATATGTCTGTTTTTGGTGGTCAGTTATATAGCAGATCATTAAGTTACTCATGTTATTAAGTTTAACTTATATTCCCAAATACATCTTTTTTTTCTGGAAAACAGCTGCATGTTCTGCATATCATGTACTAAATAAAATGCTACAATGAAAGAATATATACAATAATGGCAATCTAATGATTGATCTTAAATATGGAAATATTTGTGAGTTCAATATCAACTTATAGTTAAAGCTAAATGTGTGTTAGGAAATAGGTAACTTTATCTTTCCAAATGTTATGTCTTATTCGAGAATAAAATAGAACTATAATCTAATGAATACATAAATGGTATCCACAATGAAAATGTTGTTTATTTCCAAATATCATGTATATGCGGATAGCTGATATTTTACCGACTAAATTTGAGTATAAGTAAAAAAAAAAGCGTACAAAAGAAGATTCATTTATCAGTATTGTGTATCATGAAAAGAACATCCTAATTATAACATATTACAGATGAGCTCATCAAACCACACGACAATGGTCATATCTATATCAGGATTACACATAATTATATTTAGTGTTGTATATTAAAGCATATAAATATAGTATAAAATGCAAAATCTAATTATACATGAATGTAATATCTCCCTACGGATAGAATTCAATTGCCCATCTTTAAAACAATATCATTCAATTACAGGTTTAATGAGCTGCCACTGCTTTACCCAGTCATCTCCGTTTCTAGTCATCCTGCATATTAAACTGTTGTACATCTGCAGTGTGTATGGCATCAAAATTAATTCTAAGGTTTTTTTTCTGGATGTAATATTTATCAGCTTTAAGTGTTCCAGTAAACATATCCTGTTGCACTTGAGATGCACTTGCACGATAATGAATTCATTTGGTACGGATAACTATAACAATATCTTCAAAAGGCATGCATGTATATTACATTCAATCCTTGTGTTCTAATTTAAGATCAAAGTTGTGGGAAGACAAATTGGCATTTTAATGTGAGTTTCAGAGCTATACACCCACTATTGTTGATGGATGAAATGTATTAATAATAAATTTCACCACAAATAGAATTTAATTATCTTTTATTTGGTTCCCTCAAACAAGCAGTATTACTTAATTCAGTGACAATATTTTAAATTCTAGCCAGGATTCGTCGCTTCAAGCCTGGAGGGTCCATGGCACATTCATCACAAGTGAATTTCTACACGCCAGAGCTAAACCTTCCCCTGCCAAAGTCTAGTGGCAAGTTGAAATTGTGATTCCAATACATATCTATATATCTAGCAATTTACTGGAAGAAGGAAATTTGCTTTGATGCCTACAAGTTAGAGTTCTGTAGAAGATGGTAATCAGGTGAGCTCTTGCTTTCATCTAGTACCTTAACCCCTTAAGGACCAAACTTCTGGAATAAAAGGGAATCATGACATGTCACACATGTCATGTGTCCTTAAGGGGTTAAAGGAACACTATAATGTTACAAAAATAAACATGCATTTCTAACGCCATAGTGTTACTCTACCTATAGGTGCTTAAAGGGACACTCCAGGCACCCAGACCACTTCTGCCCATTGGAGTGGTCATGGTGCCAACTCCCACTACCCTCAGCCCTGTAAGTGTAATTATTTCAGTTTTCATAAACTGCAATATTTACCTTGCAGGGTTAACTCCTCCTTTAGTCTACTAGACAACCACTAGAGGGTAGAACTTGATTGGGGTGTAAACTAAAATAGAAAAAACATAAAAAACATAGTGCAAACTGTATGATAATAAATAAGTAATAAATAGGTATATGACTCTCACTCACATTCTCCAGAGCCGTACCAGGCTCTGTATAGCAGGCTCAGGGGTGCCAATAACTGGCTGACGATCCAGGTGGTCCAATATATATGAGACTCCAAAGGTTGAATACAAAATATATTTATTTATAAAAATATATAAAAAAGTGTATACACTGCTGGGCACTATGGGGGTGGAACCCAAAACAACAGGATATATTTTTTTATATATATCCTTGTCTGTTTTGGGTTCCACCCCCATAGTGCCCAGCAGTGTATACACTTTTTTATATATTTTTATAAATAAATATATTTTGTATTCAACCTTTGGAGTCTCATATATATTGGACCACCTGGATCGTCAGCCAGTTATTGGCACCCCTGAGCCTGCTATACAGAGCCTGGTACGGCTCTGGAGAATGTGAGTGAGAGTCACATACCTATTTATTACTTATTTATTATCATACAGTTTGCACTATGTTTTTTATGTTTTTTCTATTTTAGTTTACACCCCAATCAAGTTCTACGCTGTTTATATTACAGTCCAGTTCTATATTGGTAATATCACTTATTTTTGTTGTGATCACATTGGGGAGGTGTATATACTGGTATTTGTCTCTTTTTATTGTATTATGTAAATCTGGTGTATAAGGGAAGCACTAGGGTACCGGTTACACCATCTATTGTATACTTTATACTATATACAGAATTGTCAAAATTACAGTGAAGCGCCTACGCACTATCCTTCTTTTTAACCACTAGAGGGCACTTCCCTGTTTATAGCTCATGAAAAGTGTGCTATAACGACGCTGGACGTACTCACGCTATGTGAGGACCTCCAGCGTCGCTGAAATTCCCATAAGAAAGCATTGAAAGCATTTTTCAATGCTTCCCTGTGGCGAGGTCTAATGCGCGTGCATGCGGAGGTATAATGCGCTTGCGCATTAGGTCTCCCCCACCGGCGGCCGCGCATGCTCAATAGGTCTCCCCTGCTGGATGACATCGGCAGGGGAGGAGCGTGGGTGGACCCTGACCCAGCGCCGAGGGACATCGGCGCTGGATACAGGTACGTCACTGAAGGGGTTTTGGGAGGGAAGGGGACCAGCAGTGCCAGGAAAATTATTTGTTTTCCTGGCACTGGAGAGTCCCTTTAACTCCATGTCGAAACTCTGTGTCACATCTACATCTTCTGGACTGAGACCATCTCTCTTGATGATCTCAGCAAATCCAATGTTTTCCTAAAGGTTAGTATGTTTATAGCAAAACTCTACACTGCACCAATCAGATGATTTCTATGAGATCAACTGATTAAAATAGTTTTACTGATTGAATAGTTTTACTCAGCTATTTTAGCAGAAGCACCTCTAGTGACTATCTGAGAGACAGTCACTAGAGGCACTTTAACTATGCAATATAAACATTGTTGTTCCTGCAAAATAGCAATAGGTGTTCCTTCTTTATTGGTTGAGGAGGGTATTTTTTTTACACCTTAAGCAATGTGGTTCTGATGAAGATCAATATGTAATACAGAAGTCTGTTGTTATAGCTATATAAGCAAAGACAAGATCAGGAAGGGTTGATGGTCTACTTCTAGTAGTCCCTTATATTTCTCGCCAGGAGTAAGCAGAAAAAGTCCAGATTGGGGTTGACTAAATTTATTACTATTACATTTTGTAAGCTGGTATTTAGTGAGTGAATGCACTGGATATTGTGTGTTGTATGAATTAGCCTAATTGGCCCCAGCAGCACCCTTATAATGTAATAATGTATTCATGTTCTTGAGGTCTTGAAAAAAGTCCCGATAGGACTGAAACGTCGACATTTTTTTGTAATATTTGATGCTTCAATAAATAAGCCCGATTAGAAATACTACTGAGTCCTGCGAGTGCATTTCAACAAGGTTCTATATATATATATATATATATATATATATATATATAAATATATATATATATACAAAGTAAACTTGGCACTCACCCCTCAAACTTCATGTAAAAAACCTTGCCTTGGTGCAACCTGCATCCATATATAAACCACAGAAAAGAGGTGCACTCATAGGTCTTTGTCCAGCGTGTTTATTCAATCTCTTTGTCCTGATCAATTTTTTGACCCTATTGGGCCTTTTTCTAGATCAACAAGCAAGTGTACATACATAAATATATAAGGATAAGTAAATTAAACTTACCAAACAGCAGTGTCTCATGAACCTGAAAGCATTTAGACCCGGAAGTGAACCAGCAACTGATGTGACGTGTAGGCGTGTTTGCTCGAATGTTGTCATTGCTAAGCAACCGAGTAGTTAACTGGATCAGCCAACAGCCATAATAGAACTGAGTGCAGTGTAATAAAGGAGTGAAAGAGGTGTATTAAAATGATTTATAAAAGAAGCATATGGAGGATTGTGACAAACATGAAATTTAACAAGATAGTAGTCCAGTATAATCTCACTAGGGTTGAAAAGTACAAAATAAAAACCGGGTGAAAACGGACAGTGAGTGAGGGAAAACCATACATAGTGATGGAAAACTGTCTGCAGTGCATGTGAGAAAATCCCCAGTGGTTATTATGGGCATGCAAACAAACTGTGTTAATTACAATGTAAACTTTGTGGTAAGAAGCAACACAATCCAGAATATATACAAATTTACAGATCAGGCAAAACTATAGCTTGCAATAATATATCATTTCTACTACTATCAAAGAAAAAAAGAGATTATTAACTATATAGTGCTAACATTTGTATTATGTACTCCAGTCCTCCTGAATATAAGACCACAGTAACTGATGTCTGAAACTGATGCAGACCTGAGGCAACTGCACTCAGTGCAGAACCATGGGAAAAATATACAATAATCATATCAACTGACACAAAAATATATAAAATAAAGAATAAAATAAAAATAAAAAATAGAAAATAAAAAATGACCAATGAAAAAGGTGGCAGACTAGAATTATTATATGAAAAAATAAAAATAAAGAAAAAATAATGGAGAACTAAAAAACAAATAACAATTTTTCTTCACTATACATTAATGAGGATCCTATGGCAAGAGATATGCAAATGATTGCTGCAAAAAACTTGCAGATAACTTGTGACTGGATGACTCGAGACAAGGTGCTACAGCAGTTAAAGAAAATTAATGTAAATAAAGCTCTGGGGCCTGACGGTATTCACCCACGAGTACTTAAGGAGCTATGTGGGGAAGTAAGTGAACCTCTGTATTTAATTTTTCAAGATTCTCTTTTTTTCAGGTATTTTACCGGAGGATTGGAGGAAGGCAGATGTCGTTCCTATATTTAAAAAAGGTTCAAAATCCTTGCATGGAAATTATAGACCTGTGAGCTTAACCTCTGTGACTGAGAAAATATTTGAAGGGCTATTAAGGGATAATATTCAGGAATTCATTATGAAGAACTATGTTATTAGCTATAATTAGCATGGTTTTTTGAAACATAGGTCATGTCAAACTAATCTAATTGCATTCTACAAAGAAGTAAGTAGAAGTATAGAGCAGGGTGGTGCAGTGGGTGTGATCTACTTTCTATTTTGCCAAGGCATTTGATACAGTTCCTCACAATAGGTTAGTCTTGAAACTAAAAGAAATTGGACTAGATGAATATTCTTGTTCTTGGGTAGAACATTGGCTTAAGGATAGAGTACAATGAGTTGTCATAAATGGTAAATTTTCAGGCTGGACAAAAGTGGTAAGTGGTGTCCCTCAGGATTCTGTTTTGGGACCCCTTCTATTTAACATATTTATAAATGATCTTGAAATAGGCATTGAAAGCCATGTATCAGTGTTAGCAGATTACACAAAACTTTGTAAAGTAATAAAATGTGAGCAGGATATTGCTTATTGTTTTGCTGCAGAGGGATTTGGATAGATTAAGGGGCTGGGCGCTAAAATGGCAGATGAAATTTAACATAGAGAAATGCAAAGTTATGCACTTCGGGTTCAAGTATGCACAAGCAACTTACACCGTAAATGGTAGTGAATTAGGGATAACCACAAATGAGAAGGATTTGGGAATTGTTATAGACAACAAATTAGGCAGCAATATGCAATGTCAATCTGCAGTAGCTAAGGCCAGTAAGGTTTTGTCATGTATAAATAGGGGCATAAATTCTCAGGATGAAAATATAATTTTGCCTCTTTATAAATTGCTGGTAAGACCACACCTTGAATATGCTGTGCAATTTTGGGCGCCTGTTCTTAAGAAAGATATCATGACACTAGAAAAAGTGAGTTTGCCACGAGTTCCTGGAGGAGCCTGATTGCCAGCCTCAGACTATGGACCTGGTAAAATGTGATATAAAAGTCTCTGTTCATGTATGTAGACTACATGGTTCGGGAACCGAACAGCTGCACGAACTGGAGACCTGCCTGGAGCTTGTTAAGCCTACTTGCTACTTTGTTACAATTTCCACCTCAGTGTTTTAAGTGTTCGTCTGTTTGCATGAATGCAGGCAGCGGTGTTTGGTTGTTGAGTTCATGGAACTATTTTCGGATACTGAAACTCCCGAACACCGCTGGACTTCCATGGTCGCCTGCGTTCGGTTCAACAACACTTGGAAAGACACTGTTAAGTAGAAACGTTCCTACGAACAAGGGGAACAAGCCCCAGGGTAAGACTATTGAGTATGTTTGGTAGTTTGCTCATTTTTAAACTACCAAACTAGACTGACCATAAGCCTTGATTCTCTGGAACTGTTTTGGTCATGGGGCAATGCTTGCGGTCGTTCAAATAAATGACTTCCATGGAATTTCTGAACCCCTCAATTGATCTGGGTGATTTTTGGATATGTTGCTCACCTGGATTAGGGCTATCAAGGGATATGTTGTGTTGTGGGGCACTTTGGGGACTTTTTAGAAATTTGTGTTTTAGAAATTTGTGTTTTTCCTGCTTGGAGATAATTGAATTGATACTGTAATTAAATCAATTATCTCCCAAGCAGAGGGGAGGTATTGTTTGCCTTGTGTGGGAGTGCCTTACATTGTAAATGTGTTGTTATTGGTTTGGAACTTTGTGTCCCTGTGCCCAACAAGGTCCACCTGGGTGTCATCCTTGTTGGGAAACTTGCATAAAAGGCCAGTGTGCCTCCATTAAAAGATATTCCAGCTTGCACTCCAAACTGTGTGTTGTCCTGTTATTGGAGGGAAAGAAAATTTACTCCTGTGTCTACTGTTCCAGCTTGCAGGGAATTCAACCAGGAAAGTCCTTGTAAGGACTAGAGCTAATTCCCCATTGAGCTCCAGGAAGGAGTGGTTCCAAGGCCCAGTCAAGCCACGGCGAC